CTCCCCCCCGCCCGGCCGCCCCCGTCACGATTCCGAGTCCGGATCGGAGCTGCTTCTCCAGGGCCAGATTCCCCGCAGGCTCCGGGCCGGTCCCCCTCCTGACGCCACCACCCCCGCCGGTGTCACTCCGGGGACAGCCACGCCCTGAACCTGTGGGTGCCGGGGGGGGAAGCGCTTGGGGGGCTTCAGGCGGTGCGGAGCATCAGCCCTTTAAAGGCAGAGTGCCCTTGACGAGGAGGAGGCGGTGCAACGCATCCTCGCTCGCTCCCAACGCTCCTGACGATCATAAACACGTGTTTTGATTTCCGTCGGGTTGGGTGGATGAGGCGGGCTGGGAGCGGACTCTGCCCCCTCCCCCGGCAAGGGGTTCCGTGGAAGGACCAGGGAGGGGCTGGACGGGTGCTGAAGCGGTAGCAGGATGAGAGTTGGCAGGGCAGGAGGAGGACCTGAAAGGGCAAGGATCCCAAGTTCACTGTAAACAAAGAGGACAAGCAGCCACCCCTGAAATATACGGTGGTTGTCTCGTCTCAGCATGGACGTCGTTGAGGGGCGGGGGGCGGGGGCTGGCCGGGAAGAAGGGCACAGAAAAAGAGCAACCCACCCTGCAGTCTGCCATGCCCCTGACAGGGACTAAGCCCCACTGAATTTAGGCAGGCTTCCTTCCAAGTAGGCTTGTGTAAGTTTGCAGTGCAAGGTATCAGATGAGGAGCTAAGGCGGTCTTCTTCAAGGAAGGGGGAAGTGTTAGGATCTTTTCAGCTGGCCAAGAAACAAAGATGGTGAGGACCCCATAACCTGTTTGTAAAATAATCCTCAGCCTTGAGAAAGATGCATGTCTTCTTCCCTCTCTCATTTCCCCAAGGTGTCAGCATCATGTGCTAGCTGTAAATACCAAGAAGGCCACGGAGAAGAGATATTTAAGCTACCTGAGGCAAAGGACCTCACCCTAGGACCAAAGAACCTCAGACCGTCCACTTCAACACAAGAGACAGGGAAATTGTCCTAGAAATTCGCTTGAAGGCCCCAGAGTTCGCCTTCAGCAACCAGGACTGAACAAGTCTCCTTTACACTTGATACTTATATGGGATTCACCACCAGTTTTTGATGATGGTCTCAAGAGTGAATATATTCACAGATACATTTGTGTTTGATGGCCACACTGGCAAACTGGAACTTTCCATTCATTAGGTACACCACTCTCTGGACAAACCACATGGGGAAACAATCCACAGAAAGAACTGCCAAAATTCCCTGTTTGAGAACTTCTCCCAGGCCATTGTAGGCAACACAATGCTACACTGGATGGATCATTTTGGCTGAATGAAGTAAGAATGTGTAGCATTTAAATCCTGGAGGGAAAATGATCAGGTCTCAAATCTATCAGCAACTCATAGCCCCCAAATAATGTTTTTCCTAATTTCTTGTGTTGTGTGTGTGCGCACATCCTTTTTATGGGAGGGAAATGCTGAAGGCACTGCCTGTATTCTTCCTCCACATCCAACCGGTAAATTAAAGCTGAAATCAACTTTGTCTTGGTTCAAATTGAACTGAATGAGTAGGCCAGGGTTCACTGTGGATACACACATTTATACTCATGCACATAGATATGGGTGGCAGGTGATTTAAAAAGGCTGACAAGCACAGCAGGGAGAACACCTCGAAGGAAGGGCTGATTGCTCTATTTTCATGTAACTAACCCTGATACTCAAAGACTGACACAGCTTGGGATTATTTCTGCTCCTCTTACTAGATTCCTTTAAACATACTCTCTAGAAAGAGTTACGGTGTCCCTTCTGATCATGTGACCTGTGCACTATAGCCATTTCCTTCTGTTTAGAATGGGAGGCCCATGTTTTCTGTAGGCGAGTGGGCTTCAACAGCGCTCTGGTTGGAAGTGTACCTCCATTTGGCCATCCATACCCTAGGGATCATCTTCTCCTTACTTTCAGGCTAATCAGACTGCAGCCTCAATTGCTCTTTGTGGACGTCTGTGTTTTTTTCCTACCAGCACAATTATGTACACTCTGAGATGGGCTATCATTATACCATAGTTCACTTGTTGGTTGTGAGGTTAGTGAAATTATGATACTTGCTGGATGAAGGCCTGAAATGTCAACTGTTTTCTCACCTGCTGCTACTTCAGTGCTCTTCTATCTTAAGTTTGAGATCATTGTGGTTGTTTTGACTTTAGCTAGGGGCTGAAAAGGAAGCAGAGGCAGGAGGGAGCTGTGCTTGGGGGACATTTTAATTTGTGAGATCTCTTCTGGTAGGCTGACCTTTGTACTCCCTGACCGCATGGTCTGAGAGAGTGGGGCTTTGGCTTTAAATTAGTGCCAGCAGAAGCGTGCGCCTCATGGCGCGCGAAATTCTCTGGTTCTATTTTTGACTCTAATCTGCTAAATAGGATAGCCAAATAACATTTCATACACCTGGCGGCAGGAATGCTTGAGGAGTAGGATCATACTTCTGCACTATTAGAGAGCAGGGCGGGTCGGTGGGGCTCATCAGCCATGGAAGGCAGACCATCTAGGAGAAGGAAAACTCCGATTTCAAACCCCCACTTCCTTGTGGCTATATCCACTCTTGGAAAAGGCTTCAGGAGTTAACCTCAAGGCAAAATCCAGAGCCGGAGTCCCGGAGGCAGTTCATGTCATTCTGGCAACTCCTGCGACATCGCTGGAACCAGTTGTATTGGCTCTTGCC